TCATTACTTCCATAATACTTTTAGTTTACTAGACATAGATCCATAGAGATTATTAGATACTAAACAAGAAAAGAATTCAATAGATTATTTTTCATGTTCAAAGTTTTCAAAAAATCCTTTCCAAAAAGGTATCTTCATACATAAAATATTACAGGCATTCATGATCTAACTATGATATAACAAGGGCCCTAGGAAGATATATAAATCAGAAATATTCTATAAAGTCAATAAAATATTGCTACTATGTTTAGGATTTTCCATTTTTGCACTATAAAGTATAATTCTGGATGGTACCATATCAAATAGATTAGCAGTAGTAAACAAAAAATCATTGTTTATTTTCTCCTCATTGTCATATTTCACATTTTCTTTTAAAAATCTTCTGGTCTTAAATGTTTAATTTAAACAAAGATTGTGGCCAGAGGCAGTGGCACATGCCTGTAATCCTAGCACTTTGGAAGGCTGTGGAGGGTGGATCATGAGGTCAAGGGATCAAGACCATCCTGGCCAACATGGTGAAACCCTGTCTCTACTAAAAATACAAAAATTAGCTGGGCATGGTGTCGCGCCTCTGTAGTCCCAGCTACTCAGGAGGCTGAGGCAGGAGAATAACTTAAACTCGGGAGTTCAAGGCGGAGGTTGCAGTGAGCCAAGATCCCGCCACTGCACTCCAGCCTGGCAATAAAGTGAGACTGATAAATAAGTAACAAAGATTGTATCAGATCAGCATTTAGGTCTTATTTAACCGTTTCTTTCATTTGATACATCATATAATCTCTTAACGCATGCTTTTAAAATCATTAAAATTGTTAAATCTATTGTTTATATTTATCTATTTTTCCAATTTGCTTATATTCTTATTTTCCTGTTTTATCTATGATTTTTCTATAATCTTATATTTCTCTATTTCTAGAATGATTCATTCAGTTTCATTTCTATCTTAGTTTTTCATTTGTCAAAATGAATAGTTTTCATTATAGAATGTATAACAAATGGCGCCTTTTCTCTGCAGCTGAATTTTTTTCCCAGGCACTTCAAAAAGGAACCCTAGCCTTCGAATTTGAACTTACTAATGGCAAACCATTTTATTTTAAAATATATATATAAACTATGTTCTTTAAAAAAGGAAAATACAAAATAGAATTGAAAAATAAAAATCTGTGGTGTATACTTTTGTTCAGGATTTTTGTAATACAAGTTACTTTGAATATAATTGTAACAGCATAATTTTTATGTACTTATTTTATTAAGAGTGTCACATGTTAATTATGAGGTTATAAGAAACATCATTTAATGGCCATGTATTATAACATTAATTAATTAGCCAGGACCCTTATCCCATTGTCAGGCAATTATCACATTAAATTTAAAAAGTGGTTGCAAGAAAGACTAGCACTGTTTTGATAGGAAGGTTAAATGCAAACTCAGTCGAACAGTAGACATTTTGAATCTACTTCTAAAGTTTAATAATATCCAAGTGCAGGTCGGATGCGGTGGCTCACGCCTGTAATCCCAGCACTCTGGGAGGCCAAGGCAGGTGGATCACGAGGTCGAGAGATCGAGACCATCCTGGCTAATACAGTGAAACCCCGTCTCTACTAAAAAATACAAAAAAAATTAGCCTGGTGTGGTGGCAGTTGCCTGTAGTCCCTGCTACTCGGGAGGCTGAGACAGGAGAATGGTGTGAACCCAGGAGACAGAGCTTGCAGTGAGCCGAGATCATGCCACTGCACTCCAGCCTGGGCAACAGAGCGAAGACCCGGTCTCAAAAAAAAAAAAAAAAATAATAATAATAATAATAATACCCAAATGCAGGTTTTCCAACCTGTTTCCCCCCCAAAAAAATTAAATTTGGAAAAGATATATTCTATAAAAAAAAAATTATATCACACCAATTACTTAAATTCCCCTCACTCTGGGTCGAGTTTTTAAATACTATTAATAGATGAAAATCTAGACTACTGATGTAAAACATGCATACATAAATATTACTACACAGAACTTGATAGCATATACCATTGGTAGTTAGTATAGCATAGTAGTTAAGAGCCTAGGCTAAAGTGAGACTATGTGGGTTGGAATCCTGGTTCTACAATTTACTAGCTTGTGACTCTGGGTGAGTTACTGAAGCTCCCTATGCCTTCAATTGCTCATCTCTAAAGTGGGATAATAATAACCATCTCAAAAGGTAGTCAGGAGAATTCACTGAGTTCTTTTCTGTTTGTTTGTTTGTTTTTTGTTTTTTGCTTTTTTTGAGACAGAGTCTCACTGTCACCCAGGCTGGAGTTCAGTGGAGTGATCTCGGCTCACCACAACCTCCGCCTCCCAGGTTCAAGGGATTCTCCTGCCTCAGCATCCCGTGTAGTTGGTATTACAGGTGTGTGCTACCATGCCTGGCTAATTTTTTTTTTTGTATTTTTAGTAGAGATGGGGTTTTACCATGTTAGCCAGGCTGGTCTCAAACTCCTGATCTCAAGTGATCTGCCCACCTTAGGAGTTCTTATTTGTAAAGTTTCTTGGCACACAGTAAGCACTCTATAGCTAGCATTTAGTTGTTTAAAATTTTTTAACTTTAGCTAACATTTACTGAGCACTTACTATGTGCTAAATTAAATGCTTTACATGAATTTGCCTCAAATAATCTTCACAAAAACCTAGGATGAGGCACTGTTATTGCTCCCATTTAAAGATGAGAAAACTGAAGCAAAAAAGATTAAATTATTAGGCCAAGGCCATACAAGTAAATGTCAGAGCAATAATTTGAACTCAAATCTAGCAGCATGGCCTACAATTTTAACATGGGTTATAGAATACACTATATACTAGAAGCAGTAGCCTCCTGCAGTACTCTATTTTGAAAAGAGGGCAGGAGAGTCACAAGAGACTTTGCTGAAATAAACTAGAATATTCCAAGAAATAATTTATAAACTATTTCTTGGAATAAAATAGAGTAATTAAAAATTAATATAAGAAATAACTCACTGTCATACAGAAATATTTATATATGAAGTGATATGATGCTTGATATTTGTTTTAAAATAATCCAGCTTGGGAGAGAAGAAGGGATAAAAGAAACAAGATTAGATTGATAATGGTGAAACTGTGGTGATAGGTATATGGGGGTTCATTATTTTATTCTCTCTACTTTATATATTCTTTAAAATGTCAATAACAAAAAAGAAATAGCAACAAGGTGGCAGAGATTAGACACTTCATTACAGAAGCAAACAACTTCTTTAAGACTCCCTATCTCAAAAAATTTTAAAGGACATGACATAATTGATACTTATACATGTTATATTTTATATATAATTTCCAAAAGGGTAGCCTTACTTTAAATAATTGAGAATCCTCTTAACTAAAATGAAAAATTAACAAAAGTATTTAGGCATAAACATGTAAATAAACATGCTAAATGGTTGTATTTCCATCAGCTCACTAAAAATATTTGCTTAAATAATTAACACTCATTTTTTTTTCATGTCTTTCTCCTCCCTGATCATCTCTATGATTATGACACTCTATGGTTTGTTGCCCAGGAAATGGGATGGGTTTGTACAGACAAATATGTCTCTACAACATGGTCACAAATTGAATACGAATAAAAATCAGAAATCTGCTTCACTAAGAAACACTGCTAAAAATTTCTCACTTCAAATTGTAGTTTTAAAAATATTTGATTTTCATACTAATTTGTATCTATGGGCTGGTTATATGTACAAAACAAATATAACCAATTATTAATTTGAGAACATTTTATATGCTCTAAATTATACTGTTAAAAAAATTTAGCCGATACTAAAGGAAAAAACTAACATTAATTAAGCTAGACGCTATACTAGGCAATTTAATACACATTGGCTCACTAAATTTAAGAGACAGCTACATTTTAACAGGAAGAATATTAAAGTTTAGAGAGGTAAAATCCCTTGCCCAAAGTCATAGAACTAATAAGTAGCTAAGTTGGTATTCAAATTTAAGCTCAACTACAGAACCCACTTTCCCCCCACTATCCCAGACTACCTCCATGGGAGGCAAAAATCTTCTCAAGTCAAACTTAAATATTTAGGGCCTTTTTAAAGCAGACCATAAAATGTTTGTTACTGGTTACATGTGTATTTCACGATGGCCGCTTGGCTCTGGATAAAGAACACTAACGCGAATGCAGAAAGTATTATTTCTTCTACTGTGAGACTTTTTTTACTTTTTTTTTTTTTTTGGTTTCTTAATTTCAGCCTTAGTTTCTCTTCTCTACAATGGGGAAATTAATATCTTTGCTGTCCAATTCCAGAATTATAAAGATTTAAAGATGATATACGTGAAATCACTTCAAAATCTACAAAAACACAGAATATTTTGTCTTAAAATGTTATAACACACACACACACACACACAAAGCCAAAAGTTGTCTAAAGTAAGTGTAAGCTGTTTAAACTAATCTACAAACTCTATTAACATTTCCAGAACTTTCTAAAACCCCTTCTTCTAAGCACAGCTCAATCATAATCACTATTACTTGGCTTTCCTTACCCTTAAGTGTAATTCAGTAGTAATGGCATCAATGATTTTGCAATAAATAATTAACATATCATTTTGAAATGCTCAGCATATAAATGTTCTAAATTCTGAATTTTCAAACTAATTATGTGTTTGGTGTCACTCTTTTATATTCATGTTAATGTTTGGGCCTTTTCACATTCTATTTTGTGTATAAAAAGCTAAAATGAAGGTCTGGAATTCTAAAGTAGAACACTCAACACATAATTTAAAATGATTTTTTTTTCAATGTTTCTCAAAGCAGATATAATAGCCAACAAGCACATCAAACGCAGCAACAAAATCCATTGAAACATTCAGCTGCTCTAAAAGAAGGATCAGACTCTTAAGGAGAAAACGACATTGTGTGAGTTTGCAAAGTTTCATACTTTCCCATTTAAACTCCATTTCAGAGAAACCTTTGCATACTAACACAATATGCTTTAAAATGGTACTTTGCTGACCTTCCAATAGTCCAGCTCTATGAAAATTCTGTGATGGGTGTAACTTCAGAGAATCTGAAAAACACAAAAAGCGTTACGTACTTTTTATGCTGAATGAGGAAAAAAATGCCAAGGATAGCATACATCTCTTATATAACGGCAATGTGTGTATATATATATATTTTGTGTGGGGGGGGTGGGGACGGAGTTTCGTTCTTGTTGCTCAGGCTGGAGTGCAATGGCAGGATCTCAGCTCACCACATCCTCCGTCTCCCAGGTTCAAGCGGTTCTCCTGCCTCAGCCTCCCGAGTAGCTGGGATTACAGGCATGCGCCACCACGCCCAGCTAATTTTGTATTTTTAGTAGTGACGGGGTTTCTCCATGTTGGTCAGGCTGGTCTTGAACTCCCAACCTCAGGTGATCCAACTGCCTCGGCCTCCCAAAGTACTGGGAATAAAGGCACGAGCCACCGCGCCCGGCCAACTGCAATGTATTTTTAAGCGCTAAAGCCCATATTTGTGAATATATTCCCCGCAAAAGAGGCTGAATTGTCTCTATATTGGACTCTAAGCTAAACTTAGATTTTCATAAAGTATGTTTCATGGAAAATTATCTGATTACTGCCCAAATGGTGTTAATGTCTTGACTATTTTTAGCATTCAATTCTAACACATTAGCCCTGCTTTAAGAATCATCTCTTGATATGCTTTTTTTTTTTTTTTTTTTGACATTCAAAACTACAATATTTCTAAAGTACTTCAGGTAATGTTGCCCAGAAAACAACCTACAGGATGGTGGCTGCCAACTAAAGTCACTGGAGCAACAGACAGTGGCTACAGTTACTAAGTAGGACTCTGTGTACAAAATCAATGGTCAGTCTGTAAAGTCCAGTACCTTTCAGAGTAAACCATCTCACTCTGACTCACTTAAACAATTTAGATACACTAGTATGAAGGTGAAGTCCCTTTTTTGGAGGGGGTGGAATAAGCAAACGGATGGATACATCAAACCAAAAGCAGAAGAAACACCTACATTTTTTTTCTTCATACGCTGAAATGAATAGTTAACAACCCAGTTACGTCTTTTGCCCCCTCCCGGTGGTTTAAAAAGCGGTGAAGAGCGCAGTGGGAGTATTTTGGTTTTGATGCCCCTTGCACAGGGAACCTGTTCTGACACATTCTTGTGGTGTCCAGTATAGGAATTTCACCTGAGTAGAGATCTGCTCCAGTGCTAATATTTCAGATGCTGGGAATCCCCTGCAGGCCTTAGCCAAAAGAGTTCTTAAATGAAAAATCTCTGTCCTGAGCTCCCTCCTGCAACCAGCCTTTGAACAGAAAAGCAGAGAAAATTCTCAAAGGACAGCGTCTGTGCCTGGGCTGGTCCTCCTGGGAGAGGAGAGGAATAAAACCAATCCAGAGAGGGCACCCCCATCTTTGTAAAGGAGAAGGGAGAAGTAATTAGAATGCCACGGAGGTGGGAAGAGAAAAAAAAAAAAAGAAAATTCGGGCCCTTTCCAGCAAGAAGATGACGAGGAAAGGAAGAACGCCTGGTCGAGGGGGGCTGTCCCAACATGGGGAGGGAGTGGACTAGGCCGGAGGGAGAGGGGGTGGAACGACGGCGCACAAACAAGCTGGAAGGGGAGGAAAATGGTGACCCTGCACCCAGAACCGGCTCCAGGCCACGCCGCCCGCTTGGGGGCAACTTTGCTGGGGAGGAGGGTGCCGGTAAGAGAAGACGCGGCGACCCGATCGCGGTGGCCCCAAAGCGGGGCCCAGTCTGG